ACACTTCAAGAACGTTACAAGGCAACTTGATCCACGCTTCTTTGTTAGGATACTGGAGGGTTGTATCAAGAATCGAGGGGGATTGAACACAAATATTTTCTTCTATCAGATTTTATAAATTTCAATTTTTTAAAATTTTTATACACTGTTCAATACAAAATTATCCATTCACAACATGAAATATTTGAGATTGCAGATACATTTTTGACTGAAAATAACAAAATGCAAATGTTGGGACACAGAATCAGAGCTGGATAATCAAGAAAATTTATGGTTTACGTATATCATTATACTGATCATTCTTAATATATATGTTTATATTTGGATATTATAATGTATTCAGATTTATATAATGTAACAATTACTAGCCCTATAAATGGTCGTGGTCAATCATTTTAAAAATCATACTAAGTTATGTTGTACTAGACCTTCCACGTGAACATAAACATTTATATTTTTTCTATACTGGACTAAAAATAGATCAATAATTTCCAACAACTGAATGTTCACTCGCCTTAATGCTCGGGGGATATGCTCTTGGGGTAACTTAATTTTCATATTGTCCTCAAAACGGCAATAATTGTTTGATATTATTAACTTTTTATATGAAGAAGCATGGTGAGACAGGTAAAAGGTAAAATGTCTTCGGAGTTGTCGTCAAAAAATTATCTTAACAATAGAAGTAATTAAACAAAAATGCGTGTTATAAAAATCCTAAGTCATTAACAAAAATATCCTCCAACTTTCATTGCATATCTGAACATTATTTTATGAATAATAAAAAAAAACAAAACTGTAATTTATTTTCTGCAAAACGAACCAGAATTAAGCAGTTTGGGTATTTTTCGAAATTCGAGTGTATAAGACGTCATTTGAATTGCCATTTTGAGCTAATTAACACATTTCAAATTTAAACGACTAAATTTTCCGATTTAAAGTGATCAAATTAGTGTTCTATTGTTATTTTACATAGTTGTACTACGCTCAGTAAAATATTCACAAATCCTTCCTCCTAGTATGTAAACGACTTAAGATTTAAATAATTTGAAGAAAAAGATGAATATCCGCCATTTTGAATCGCCATTTTGACTTTTAACTGACAGTTGCACTATCATTCAATTGTAGAATAGTGAGATGTAGAGGGGAAAATACAAATCTGCAGTGTATTGATATTTGCAAATGTAAAATCCTAAGCAAAGCGGAATATAGAAACAATAGACAAAAAAATCAGAGGAAATTCGAATTAAGTGTAGAAAAGACTAAATTTTCTGAGTTTAACTAATAATGTTAGCATCCTATTATGATTTTTATAGTTTCATTACACTCAGTTAGATATTCACTCATTAATTCTCCACTTTGAACGACATTAAAAGAAAATTAGAAAAATTGGATGTCCGCCATTTTGAATCGCCATTTTGACCTCTTTAACGCCATTTTCATGAAGGCCAGCATATTTTTCGGATTCAGCATACTTGAAATAGGTTAAAAAAACTATGCTGGACCAAATAATAATTATTTGCCGTTAGAAGTTATTTCTAGCCTTCTTTTTAAAAATCAGGACCAGACTATATCTGAATGCTGGCATTTTACTGCTATTATTGTCCCCCGCTTTCGCGAAAGCGAGGGGACACTAAATCTCATTCGTCTGTCTGTCAGTCTGTCTGTCCGTCACAAAAACTTTAACCTTGCCCATAACTTTTGATTTAGTGAAGCTATGACCTTCATATTTCACATGTGTATTCCTTGTGACAAGATCTTTCTTTGGGTACCACCAAATTTGACCTTTTGACCTTGACCTTGGAGTTTGACCCACTTTTACACAAAAATTTTGAATTTTTACTTTAGCCATAACTTTTGAATGGTAGATACAATGACTTTTATATTTCACATATGTATTCTTTGTGACAGGACCTTTCATTGGATATCAACAGCTTTGACCTTTTGACCTTGACCTTGGAGAATTCCGTACTTATGAAAAAACTTTAACCTTGGCCATAACTTTAAAACAGTAATGGCTAGGGCTTTCATACTTCACATATGTAATCCTTGTAAGAAGTCCTTTCATGGGATAATAAGAACTTTGACCTTCTGACCTTGACCTTGCAGTTTGGCCCACTTTTTTGAAAAATTAACCTTGGCCATAACTTTTGAAGGTTTTGGGCTAGGGCTTTCATACTTCAAATATCAAATCCTTGTGACAAGACCTTTCATTGGATATCAAGCACTTACACCCTTTGACCTTGACCTTGGAGTTTGACCTACTTTTTAAACACGTTAACCTTGGCCATAACTTTTGAATGGTAAGTGCTAGGGCTTTCATACTTCACATATTAGAAGTAATCCTTGTGAGGAGACCTTTAATTGGATACCAAGAACTTTGACCCTTTTACCTTGGAGTTTGACCTACTCTTTAAAATTTGGGTACCAATACATTTAATATGCATTTAAGAAAAGTTTAATCTTCGCTTTGTTGCCATAGAGGGTCATCAGTGTTTCACGAACGCATTTTGTTCCTTTTAACTTTTGATTGAGAAGAGACAGGGATTTAATATTTGACATGTGTATTACCAATGATAATATATTTCCGAGCATGCTATGATTTCTGACTCCTTGACCTTGGCCTTTATGATTGACCTTATTTCAGAAAAAAATACAACTCTGGTGATAATTTCTAAATGACATACGATAGGGCGTTCATATTTGACATTTCGCTTACAAAGACACCGAAAGCGGGGAACCACAATTCTTTGAATTTGCTTGTTTACGTGCGTACACATTGTTCTCCTGTAAATTACCCGCTTCTGTACTGCACTGAAACTGATTGTAGTACAGTATTTTGTATATATACGGATAAGCTGTAAAGCTTAAAGTTACAATAAAGAAGAGTTAGACGGGGGTCGCTGGGGGTCCATTTTAGACAAATGCCCACCCAATTTACATCCCCACTCGTGGTGGTACCCAATGTTTGATAATTATATTAATATTAATATACATTTTAGGTGTGTTGCAGCTTTGTAAAAGTAGTAAAATTGTTGAAATAATAATGCAACACAGCTGCTGTATCAATATATAATTTATGTACTCTATGTTTAAGGAAAATATTCAGAACACGCTAATTCAAAGAATCTGTGTCTCCCCTTCTTTGAATACTAAGAATTTATTTTACAATTATTTCTTACCGTAAATCCTAGGTTGGATATAGCAATTATCACAAGATTGGGTCTTTTCTCCCCAAAGTCTAAAGTTGGAGTGCCTGAGAATTACAACTGAGCGAAAGTGCGATGGGTCGAATAAAAAAAACCTGTTGGACTACTCACACTCTCCGTTATAATACTGTAACTGACCACTCAGCCGTAAAAATGAATGAACGAACAAGGCAGTGAATGAATGTAGAAACAAAGTAGTGACAATATTTACCAGATTATGATAATGCCTATGGAAACTATATAAAAATGATATATATGATTTGTTAATTGAATTAGTTGTAACTTACTATGTCGTACATGTATTCTATAAATTTTATGTTCCTCACATTTCCGATTGTCCGCACGTGGTTTAATTTATTGCCTTTCAGCATTTCTAAAGGCAAGTCATCTTGCATTTGCACCAGCTTAAAAATACTCCAAAAAATCTTTATCAGCTAGTTTTCGAACAAAAGAGGCAATTTAATTTCTACCCCTTAATTCCATATTTGCAGCATGTGTTTCCAAAGCTATGTGTTGGGACAATTAAAATTAAGGCGTAAAATTTTATCACATATGAATGTTTAATAAAACTTTGTTTGCCGATTTTAAATTCTGAGTTTCTCTTTCGGTGGTCTGATGTTTTTTTTTCTTGGGAGTAAAGGAAGAGTTTGGTAAACAATTGCAAGATCTTCTTATGTGTCTTTGTACGTATCTTATAAAGCTTTGGAACAATCTAATTCATATTTAGTTTGAAAGACAAGGATAGTAAAATTGCTTATGTTTAAGACTGACAAATTTAAAAAATTTAATGAATAATCTCTTTTATTGAAGGGAAAGTATATATTTCTTTGACACGCAGTTTTACATGTAGAATTAAATCAAAGTGCGTCTGAAATATAGTGGCAATATCGAGTCTTACAAAAGTTAAGATTGTTATGTGCTACATGTAAGTTAGGTTGAATATACTAATCAATTATATAGCACCAATAATTACTGAAGATATTGCAGAGACACAATTTATTACCCCTGGGTTGCTAACCGTAATGTAATGTCCTTTATTCTGAGAATCGGATTAATCTCAACTTATTTGCTTTGTTTGATGTACAATGTAGTAAATAAAAGTCGCCAAACAAACAGTTGATTTTCATCGTATCTGGTCCATCACTTAGGATAGTAATCGACAGCATTCATCAAATAGAGAAATAAGGATCAATTTATGTGTTTCAACTTTGTCTGATTTTAAGATGCTATCTTGAACCCATAAGTGACTTGAGATCATATAAAGATTTCTAGAACCAGAAATTTTCCTTGAACCATTCAAATTTGTTATGTAAATTTAGATGTAACAACTGGCCCCCCCTATTGAAACTTTTCCCCAACCTTACTTACACTATAGGAAATGTTAATTTGTACTTTATGTGCCCCCCCACTTTATAGAAATGTATGAAATTATGTTTAAGAATTGGTACAAAAAAGAAATTACAAAAAAAAAATATATTTCAAACCCCCCCCTCCCCCCCCATGTAGACCAAATATAGGATTTTCAACTTTTTACAACAACAAACTTTCCAGCATTGAAAAAATTATGTAAACTTTTTTTGCTTGTCAACTTTTTCAGGTAGATAAAAAAAAATTTTGAACTTTAATATGGCCCCCCCACTTTCAAAATCGATGTATTATATGCCATTAATGTGTAATGACCACCTCCTCTCTACAATGTATGTTTGTACACTTAGGAGAATAAAAATCATTGTCATTGTCATTGTAGAGGGGGAATTTTTCTTAAAGAAGAGCAAGGCGTGGTCTTTATTTTTATATTTTAATTCTTATTTTATATGTGAAGATCCAAAATCTTCAAACAACTTGACAACTTGCTGAATGTACAATACTATAATAATATCTAGATGTGCTTATGTGGACATTTACCTACTTAAAAAGATCCTATACTTATCAGTCTTATAATACAATCCTGATATTTGACAGATATATTGGAACTAGAAGTATAACCTTATCCAGCTACTTTATATATAGCTGCCATTCCATTGCAAGGGTAATACAATTGAAATGCTTGTAAAACTCCTATCAGATATCACCATGGTAACGGTTTCCCGGAATAATCTGTCAGAACGCATGCGTTGTCTGCGTTCATTTTCAACATCTCCTCCAGACAACCTTTGACGCTCTGGGAGGGGGTAACAGGAGCGGCGGTGGTTCCCATGTCTGTTTGAACCCATCCCGGATGTAAAACGCCAACGTGGATTCCCTTGTCCTTCAGTTCGTTGTGCAGAATCTTACACAACATGTTCAGAGCTGCCTAAACATATGAAAAATGTACTTTTAAGCATTGCAGATCTTCATAGCAAAAAAGAAAAAAAAAGAAAAACTAAAGTAAAAAAAGGAACCAAGAGAATAATATTAATTCGATAATGATAGAAACTCAGTTCAATGCACCGATTTCCGACTTACTTTTGAGACTCGGTATTCTACCGAATTTGATGTTTCAGTCAGTGTAATGGAGGACATTATAGAGGACATATTTACTACGGCGGAGGAAGGGTTGCTGTGTGATGAGGTCTGCGCAGATCGTAGAAGTAGTGGGAGAAATGTCTACAATCAAAGTCAAGGTATGAAACAGGTCTGTAGGAAGCAATTTCAGTTGGGGGCACAGCCATACATTTTCATTTGGGGGCATTATTAACTACATGTACCAAAAATTCCTTGACAAGCAATTGAAGAAAAAAAGTCACATGCAGACGTTTTTATTGATGGGGCACAAACAAATTGTAGGTATGTTTTCTATAGTTTATCTGTATATCGGCAAAATTATTTGGAGGGGGATTCCTACGTATACGGCCATATGAAAAAAAACATCTGACATAGAGCATTAATTTTTACCATGGGGGTGACTTTGCGCTTGAGGATACTTAACATGTACTTAATTCTAAGATGCAAATTGCAAGTAACCATGAGTGATGCATCAATTTTAAGCAAATATACTTACCTTTGTTGTAAACAGAGGACCATTAACATTTGTATTGAATGTGTCTAACATCATTGCCGGTGTTACGGCTTCCAGCGATGCCTTTTGATTAATGCCAGCATTGTTAAGAAGTAGATTTAGTCCTTGTTCTCCGAGTTTAGACTCCACAATTTTTCTGGCTTCGTTAAAAGAGTTAGGTTCGTTTACATCTGAAATTGAAATGTCCATTTCTTCTATTTCTTAATTCAACTTACAAATGAAAAATAAAAATAAAAATCAGAAACATCTATATACCGGGTATTCTTTGTCCATTTCGTCTGTAATAACCCTAAAAGTCCATGTCTTAGACATTTCTTCCAATAAAACTTTTTTACAGCCCTACGTCTTATCATTATGACGAATTTCTATGTATGGAACAAAAATATTAATATAAAATTAATAATTTGTTTTCCTCAGATCCGTTGGATAGAGAACACCTAAGACATGTATAATTTTTATTATGCGCCCGCATCGAAAGATCCGAGGCGTATATTGTTTTTGTCCTGTCTGTCTGTTTGTCTGCAAACTTTAACCCTCGCCATAACTTTTGAACCATGAATGAAAGAGACTTCATATTTGATATGCATACTCCCCTAATTAAGCTCTTTCAAATGACACCAAGGTCAACGACCTTGTGACCTTGACTGTCACCTATATGCTAAAAATATTTTTTTTCCTGCAAACTTTAACCTTCACCATAACTTTTGAACCATAAAAGATAAAGACTTAATATTTGGTATGTATACACCACTGAATACGCTCTTTTAAATGACACCATAGTCAACGACCTTGTGACCTTGACTGTGACCTATACGCTAAATGTAGCTTTTTTTGTCTACAAACTTTAACCTTCGCCATAACTTTTGAACGAAGAAAGATAGAGACTTAATATTTGGCAAGCATACTCCACTAATTAGGCCCTTTCACAAGAACCAAAGGTCAATGACCTTGTGACCTTGACTGTGTCCTATATGCTAAAAATAGCTTTTTTGAACCTTTTAAACCACGAGAGACAGAGACTTCATATTTGGTATGCATACTTCACTAATCAAGTTCTTTCAAACTTTGCTTTCATGTTCATGTATTTATGTGGTATAGTAAACGTACAAGAGATATGAATTCAATAAGTAAAGTTATTAAAATTTCTCCATACCTAGTTTCATAATTGTTACCGAAGAGTTGGATTTGGCTACCTCTTGTAATTCCTGAAATATATACATGTGTGTTTTACATTTAAAGTCAGAGTTATTATTATAAAATAGTAACTACAAGAAACACATGTACATGTAGGATAACATATGCTCAGTGTCTAAGATTATTTTAAAATCAAGCTTTTGTAAAACATTACAGATCTCCAGAACAGTCACTGTCATAAAAACGAAATTTATAGCGCAATAAAGAAATTATATATATATATGTTTATTTAAAACTTGTGTTATTGGGTACATTAAAAGATTAATAGATTATATGACTTTTTAAAAATAAAATATTTATACTTTATGTTTCAGGCATGTTTACACCTGAACAGTTGTCCATAATTTCAATCTTCGTAAGTGACGGTTCAACGTTAAAGTAGTTCTTTTCTAATGCCTCCGTTGTATATTTATAGGCCTACCAATTCACGAACATGTTCGGAACATTGGAACACGTTAGAATTTTATTTAGCATGTTCTGGAGTTATCTCTCTTTAATATTAGGTCTTGAACAATACTTGTATTGAACGTATTATGTTTGCTTCAAAAAATATGGTTTTTATTTGCATAATAGTTTTTCAGTGCAATTCCATATTACCTAGTGATATATGCGAATTATTTGCTTTCGAGAAAGAAAAAAAACACGATTTTTTTAGTTTGCAAGAAAATATTTTGATCCGCGCCCATTCTCAGTTTCATACCTTTGCGGTTTCCGGGTTTCTGCATGTTGCGAAGAGAAAGTCGGGTGGGCTTTGTGCCTGAAGGAACTGTTTGACAAATTCTAGCCCGAGACCACGACTCGCACCTGTAATTAACACTGACCTCGGCGGCAGCATGGCGTATCTCTTTGTTTATATAGAGAGATCTACGTAAGGTCAAGGTGGCTTAGATAAAGTAACCTTTCATTTGGAGAACAATATCTGAAATATTGGAAAACTACCAGGATATCTATACGAATTGAAAGAAGAAATAATAAATAATTATTCCAATGGCTTTGTGTTCCTCTGTATAGGCCTAATTAATTAAAAAAATTAAGCAAATACTCTGTAAAATACACATGAAAGAATGATTACGCAAAGGTGTACGCCTAAGAATCTCTACGGCGTATAAAACTCATTTACCAAGTCGTCGTGGCCGAGTGGTTAAGGCGATGGACTAGAAATCCATTGGGGTCTCCCCGCGTAGGTTCGAATCCTACCGGCGACGCATTCTTTTTTTTTTTTGTTAATCCCCCCAAAAACATTTTCCACATAGGAAAGTATGAAAAAATAAAACTATTTAATTATATCTCTGCTTTTATTGGTCGAAAAAAAATTAATAAAGGAATGGCTCATAAGTGTAAAAGTTTTAGCCTAGAGGAGACAACATTTTCTTCATAAAAAATAGGATGCTTTCAAGATTACTTCCACCCTTACATTTTAAATGGTTTAATGAAGAAATACTGAATTTATATACTCTAAATTTAGTTTTAATTAACTTATAATTGCAAAAAATTATATAGGTTGCATTGTTATTTTAGTTGTAAGACACTTTAGTCGAAAACGCCAATTTAGTACTTCCCCCTTTTATTTCTTTTCACGATTTTGTAAATTTCATAATCACTAATGCTTCCCCTTTTGTGTAACTAATTAGTCAATACTTGCTACCAGTAAAGCAATCAAGCTTTGTTTCACTATAGGAAAAAAATCCAGATGGCCTTATTGTTACAAAGGTATTGATCAAGGTTCATCAATAATTAAAAATCTGGGAAAAAAACTTAATACGGTAAATTCATCGGCGCAAAACAATTGGAATGGGTGCAATCATATCCTTTATGAGTTTATGAGTGCTGTTTAATGCACTGTGTACCAGGAATATTATTACTGACCTAGGGAAATATTACAAGGTAGGATTTTATTTGTTTCCTTGTTTTAATTACAAACAAGGAGAGGGAGAATAGACAATTTGGACATTCTTAATATTGTTTCCTTTATTAAAAAAAAAAGAAAGCACACTTCTTGCTAAACATTTTTTCACCCTCTCTTTCTGAATTTATATTACGTGTATTTATAAAAAATGTATTCCTCTTTATATAAACTTCTCCAATAAAGAACAAGCCATTAAATAAACTGAACTATAATTGATTTATACATAACATTGTACTGCAATGCTTATGGGAACTATAATTATGAACCGGAACTGATCAAGAGAAAAAAAATTATGAGGAAAACCTGTTTCAAATGACGATTTAATATGTGAAAATTTCATTGTGCATGTATAATATTTTATTCAAAATTTTCTTTAATTTTGCAATACGAAATTGCATCCTAAGGAGGAATCATTCTCATATTTATTGTATTTGAAAAAAAATAATGAATTTTTCACTGTTTGCAGAGAGCAATATCAATATTTAAGTGATGGTATCACAATGATTGAATTTGACCCTGTTATTTTGACGCAAGGTCTATAGTCACGGCCATTTATTTATCATTTTCCTTGACATTAAAAATTAGAACAAAGTCTTTTACCAATCAAGCAATGCAATGCATGCCCACTTCAATTATATTAGATTAAATATTTTCATTTTAGCATAAAAGAAAAGATCAAATAGAGTCTAACAAGTGAAACTTCCAAATAAAGGTAAATAAATGAACTAAAATAGATATTGACGCTCCCGAATTTCCTCTATTTTTCTAAAATTTTCAGGGAATTTTTAGCTATTTTTATATGCTTCCTATGTCCAACTTTTTCTCATTTTCACATCTGGTGAAGTTGTCCTATAAAGATACAAAATGATACAAAAATTAAAAAAAGTTATAAGCATTTAATAAAAGAGAAAAGTCAACTTTTACTTATTTTTTGCATAAATCTGCTCTTAGTTTGGAAGCTTTCAAAAACAAAATAATAATATTTTGTTTAGTAAATATTTTTAATTTGCATCTAAAACCTTGGTTCATTGTTATTATAATTGCAGCCAATTTAGAAAATTCTTAAGTCTTTGTTTGTTTAAAATTCTTAGTTCAATTCATTGCTCTATTTGATTTTTTAGAATCAGAAAAATAAAGATATTTTCATACGCTACAGTTCCGCCAAAAATATAGTCCCTGCTAGACTTCAAACTCAGTTTACCATTTCTATTCAATGATGCACAATTATGAGCCCGAGAAGGGAAAAATAGATTTTAAATCCCTTACATCTTAATATGTTAGACATATTAGCAAATATACTTTGAATATTTCATTTAGTCAGAAACAAGACAAGATTAGACTCCCTCCTTAAAAGAACAATGGAAAGAGTTCATAAGTATACACAAGACATCTCCAATAGAATGTCTTCTTGCTCTTTGACGCAACTCTAGGAAGTTGTTCGAACGCATCCACTGCAAAATTTAATTTCTAGACAAAGGTTTTGTCAAATTAGGAATAGTGTAGCCCATGCAAACTTTCCTAAATGAATTACGGTTCACAAAATGATTACACAGAACATGTTTTCTTACATTTATTTGAGTGTTTATTTTATCAAATACATGTACATGCAGACAACAGTAATACAAGTGTACTCTCAAAAGTCTTTGGAGGGTTTCAAGGGAGGGACATTTCCCCTCATAGTTATAACAACTCCAGAGCAAAGTATGAATGATAGAGCATATAAGCACGTGTAAAACATCATATTTGTATAACGCTCATGTAGACTATACTCAAAGTTATCACTACTGTCCTCTACAAAATTTGTTTTTTAAATTTTTCAATATAATGTGACAATACATTTTGCATTGACAGAGAAAAGGTATCTCTTCAATGCAGGCCTCTCGATATCATCGGCTAATTAAATAATTACGACATAGAAAGCAATGTTCAACAAGTTCAATGTCAGTGTTACTAATTTATTTTCTTAATTCTTCTGTCAGGTACTCTATCCTTTCCCTGATTTTCTACATCTTTTGGATTGTTGGCTGCTCATATTAATTAAGCAAGAGAAGAAAACGAAGTTAATATATATTTGTTTGTTTGTTGTTTAACGTCCCTCTGGAGAATTTTTTATTCACACAGAGAAATGAGGGTAAAATGTTTGAGAAAATATTTCTTTAAATTATATACATGTATACCTAACAAAAGCAACGTACGACGAATGTACTCTGCCAAATGATTTTGTTCTTCTCTATATTCTTGCTGCACAGCACTAAGGAAACCAACGAAAGGTTGTTTGAGAAAATAATATGGTAGCAATATTCTAGTACATACAAACTGTATGTACTGCCAATTTTTCTATACTGGCAGAATCAGTACATTCGTATAAAATACAGGAAACAGCAACCATTATCGATACTTTTCTGACAATATTCTTATATATTTATCTCTTCATACCTACATCAATGGAGGAAAGCAAATGGATGGATGAGCATTTCATCTGAAATCGCTTTCTTATTGGAGTATGTCCCTTTAGTAGAAAGATGTGTTCAATACAAAATGACGACATTTGAATGAGAAACCAATTTTGTGTCTGTGATCTTTACATAAAATGACTTGACATACAATAACAGTATCAGATTTTCGATCAAATACAGCTTCCCCATTACAAATATTTTTTTTTACTTACCTATAAAATATTGTTACGAAAAGTACATGTATAGAAAACTTCATATAGAAAAAGCTCCCTTTTGAGGTGCAAATCAATTTGACATTGTGTCATTCCTGATAAGTACAATCAGTTAGGCGAGAAGCATGCTAGACTTTCCGCAAATGTATCCTGAACAATTATGTTTCGAAATGTAACACAGTTTTATTTCAAAAATGTTAAAATCGATTTTTCTCAGAATTACGAGTTTCAAAGTTACGAAGATGCAGAAATGAAATTTATCTACGTTGAAAAAAGTTTCTACTTCCGTTTTTTTTTTTTAGATGTTTTGAACATATTTTATTGACAATATGTCAAATGGATTGGACACAAGTTCCAAAAACTTAGATAGTCCTCTCTCATACATAAAATCCCAATAGCCATACAACATTTACAAAATATTACAATAATATATACATGTACATAGAAGAACAGAAAACAATTGCTTTATGAATAAAATTTTTTAGATAAGGTATAATTTATTATATTGTTAAATATTTTCTATATTTATCATACACTTTTAATGAATTAGTTATATTTAAAGTCTATCAAACTAATTTTATAAAATATGATTATATTAGACTTAACTGAGTATAAGTAGTAGCAATAAATAATTTCAAACTAAAGAGGAGATTTGGCAGATGGACTTACTACATTGCGTAATTCGAATGCAGATTTGAGTTAAAATGAAAATTAGCATTTGAAATATTTTTGACAAAGTTTAAAACCAGTAAATTTCCAAATCTTTATCATAGATGTAACCTTGACTCCTTATCAATTAATAGCCTTCATCAATAAAGAATAAATGACACGATCGATCTGGTATATATAACGAAGCACAAACTGTTATCAATATTTTATTGTGTTCTGCGAAACTAAATCGCGGCATAGACATCATGGTGTTCTGCTTGATTCAAACAGTCCCATATAACCTTTGTTAAAATTGACACCTTATCAATCACATGGTTAACCAATAGTGCTGCTTCCAGCAACTAGAGAAGATTTGGCATCCTATTTGTGAATGAAAATAGTTGGTGTGGCATGTCTTTGTATGATATGATTATATCAGAATTTTAGAAAGCAAATTTAGTAATTTGATAGTGCACTGCTGTAGTCCTTTTCGCTTTTTTTCTCTTACCAACTCAACCAAATTTGCATTTGTAAGTAATTCGACCCCTCATAACAAAAGCAATTGATTATTATTATCAACCAAGTATTACTTTTTTCGAAAAAAAAAACTTTGCCGTTTTTTAAATGCCTGTTAAACTTCAAGGTCAAGGTATAAAGGTAAAACA